TGGGTGACCCTGGAGGACATTATGCTGAGTGAAGTATCTCAGTCACAAAATGACAAATACTGCATGATGCCACTGTTGTAAAACAGGACTGACCTCAGGGTTGGGGGGAGACTGAGAAAGATGGGTTCAATAATGTATACTGCATTGAAACAGATGAAAGGGAAAACTGTTTAAAAGGGATATGTGATTAGGTGTTTTTGTCATGACAGGAGTCCAGAGTGAAGGCTGCATAGTAGAGTGGACCTGGGGGGAGGGTTTGTAAAACAATGAAAGAATCTTTCTTTTACTTTTCCAAGAGGGTAGTGTACTAGGGGGGAGAGTTGGGAGGGGAGAAATGTGCAACAATGAATGAATGGAAATCCAAAGTCTCTGTAAATGTTCATTGAAATGAATAATACATTTAAAAAAAAATTGAGTGCAACTGCAGAAAGTGTGGGCATGGACTAAATGAGAAATTATTAGGAAATTATTGTTCATTTTCTTAGCTGTGACAATTTGGTTAGTATTAAAGGGTAAGCAGGATAATGTCCTAAGAGGATGAACTGTGAAATATTTGGTAGTGAAGAAGCATGCAAATGGCAACATAAATAATTTTTTTTTAAAGTCCATACAAACATACATGTACTAACAGAGAGACAAGCACAGGACAATGTAAACTGGTGAACGAGGTGGATAGTATTATATTATAGGTGCCTACTTAGAAAACAATACCATGCTTAGAAGGGTGGAGGGTCAGTGAAAGAGAGGAAGGCCCCCCTGAGATGGACTGACACAGTGACTGCAGCAATGGGGTGCAGTATAGATGAGATGAGGAGGACAGCACAGGATAGGACAGGGTTCAGGATAGCACTGTTCAGGATAGGACTGTTGTTCACAGGGTAACTAGGAGTCATACTTGACTTGATGGTATCTAAGAACAACTGTACGAATAGGGAGTTCTGGTGGCCTAAGAGTAAGAAGCTGCACTGCAATCCTTTTAAAGGCACACTGCAGGAAAAGGCTGGGCAACCTCTTCCCCCCGATTCACTCTCTGGCCAGCTATGATTTGGTTCCAACTTGAAGGCACGTAACAACTGTACTTTTATTGCTTTTTTTATTGGTCAAATATTTTCATACAAAGAATGCAGAAGTGGGAAAAAGAACTTTAGAAAAATTCAGACATCTGGAATTTAAAAAAATCTAATCCAAGTTATCAGACTATGCTAACATACCCTTTCTAAAATTCAAATACACTCTGCTGTCGAGTCAGTTCCATCTCACAGCAGCCGCCCATTAGGTCTCTGAGGCAGTTAAGCTTTATGGGAGGACATGGCCCAAGTTCGTCCCACAGAGCAGCTGGCAGATTTGAACAACTGACCTGTGATTAGCAGTTGTCGCATGTGACTCAACATGCCACCAGAGCTCCTTGAGGCAAAACTATTTCACGTTTTCATACCATCTTACATCCAACACCAACAGTGCTCAACAATGCATGCTGGTATATAGTTTCAATCAGGTCAAGTTTTTTAAACTGTACTTTAGATAATTTGGATGGCTTGATTTTTTTTTTTAAAGTTCAATATACATTTTTATTTTAAAAAAAAAATACCACAAAAAAGAATTTTTTTGCAAGAATTTTTCAGGTTTTTTGCAGGATAAACTGCTAAAAACATCTTTATTCAAAATAAAGTTCTTGGCAGAGAAAACTTACTCTGTGATGATCTATTATTCTATTGGAAAATCTTGCTTTATAACACAAAATACAGTCAAAGTGAGAACAGGTAATAATATCAGAAACTGTACATCTGAACCAGTGTCAATCCACAGACTCTCCAAAAACCCAAGCTGGCTGGGCTGAGCCAGCAACCCTTTTCCTAGACTCAGACCCAGCAGTGGGGGTGGCCTGGCTGTCTTCAGGGGCTGGGGCAAGCCAGAACTCTGCATACCCACAGCTCCCCCACCAAAGGGTTCACCTCACACATGAATGTACAACTAAGTCCGGCTGTCAGGGAGGCCCTTTGTCGTTGGGGCCTGCCTCTTGCTGCTGTCCTGTCCCTAAGCCCCTGCAGTTCCTCTCTCCCTCCCACTTGAGCTAGAGTAGGTGGGCCCCCCGAGCCCAGCCTGGAGGCTGCGGGCCTGTGGGGCCTCTTCCCCACAGCTGTCGTTAGGCCTGTGTCTCTCCCCTCCTTGTAGATGCTCCAGTCCCTCCATGTATTATGGCATCCTGAACCCTCCTCCCCTCTGGATGGGGAAGGGGTCTTGCAGGGACCTGTCCCCACTCCCTCCCCAAAACAAAATAAATAAGGAAATATATGTTTTAAAAAAAGAAAGAAAGAAACTGCACATTTGACTGGAGAAATATCACCAGATTCTTGAAATCAGAATTTTCTTCTCTGACTTTTTTTCTTTTGGTTCTTATATGTCTGCTATGATTTTTTTTTAAAGGATGCCAAAAGGGGGGGGGGGGGAAGGAGATACAATTTTGTGCTATAAATGTTCATCTTTTGATTAAGGAAAGTCTTCTATATACATCTATCGGTAATAAAGTACATATTCAGTTCTCTTATTTCCATGCAAAACTCTAAATTATTCCATATTGCATTTACTTAACATTCACTATCCCTATATTTAACAGAAAAGGATTTTAGGACTGGTTTCCACTCAGGCTGAAATTCAGCCAATAAAATTATGTCCTACTGATTTAAACAAAAAGACCTTGTTACTCAAAATAGAATAAATAACAAACCTAATGTCTATCATGCTGCAGGGCTGCATAATCACTTCCTTGCACCCACCTACCTGTGGGACCACTGTGGCCCTCTGGTTTCTCTTGGGGGACCTTGTATTGATTTGTCTGTCATCTTCATCAGAAAAGAGGCGACTTCGTTTTGAATTTCTAAAAGGCTATGATAAAAATGTTCTCATTTAGTTAAAAGGCTGAGCATACCCCTTTTCCATTCCAAAATCAAATTCTATGTCGAAGATATAGCTAACTCTGAATTATGAGCGTGTGAAAGGACAAAGTATGAGTAACACAAAGCATGAAGTGCCAAATTTAAATAATCTCAGATTTATAAAGCTGTGAGATGCTTCTGTATGTAATTTGTTTCAATATTAACACGAGAGCCAGGTTTCCCTAGTGTCCGAGTTCTCCTGAATGATGGAAAAATAATTTCAGGAATGTCCACTTCATATAACACTGGAGTCTAGGTTACATAACACATCTGAGTAGGGCTGGGCTAGGGAAAAGATACATTATTCTACAACAATATAACTAAGTATATAGACTACAAGTTCTACTGTAAAAAAGTATCAACTTAGTTTCCATTTGAGAATCAAACAGTAAGTGTACAGAAAAACAAATAGTAAGATTTTTATTTGTAAATATATGTTGCCAACACTCTCCTTTAGAATATCAAAGTACAAGGACATGAGAGATTTAAGATTTAGCATGAAAAATCCAGTCCACACTAGGTCCAGAGGTTTCATTAACAGAGTGGAACAATTAAAATAATACACTAAATAAATTCATATCCTTTCTCAAATTCCTTCCCACCACTCAAGACAGAGCTTTATGTTCATCTGAAGGGTGGATAGGTATGAAACAGCTTCAGACAGACACAATCCACCTGGAAAGAAGGCTGGAAGTATAGACCCTTGGAATTAAATCAAGAGTTCTGACACTCCATGTTCTTTCTATCCTGTTCTCTCCCAGGATGATGCACAGAGAGGAGGAAGGCAATGACTCAGGGAAATCCGAGAACAAAGAAAGTTCCTCACTTCACAGGCTCAGTGTCAAGGCGTAGAGCCTGCTACTGTTTGGGGGAGTTGGTTTTTTTTTTTTTATTTTGTGTGAGTGTACCGTCAAATCAGATCTGACTGGTACAGGAGGAGATTGTCCCTGCTTTTCCCGGCAGAGCATCTGGTGGATTGGAACCGTGAGCCTCTGGGATTGTAGTTGCAGCTTCTTGCCACTAGGCCACCAGAGCTCCCCTATGTTTGGGGGAGTTTTTAACACTCTTTCAACAGATCAATGTCATTTATTACAACATCTCATGGCTGTCCCCTCCCTTTCGTTTTACTCCATGCATCCATCATTAACCTCTGCTCCTCTCAGCCTCCCTTCTCAAACCTCTCAACTCTCTATGATTGTACATTCCAGCTCCAGGTTTGCTTTCTGAATGACCCCAAATGCCTCAGACTATTCCTATTACAACAGTTATGACGTGTCTGCGCAGGGGAAAGGAGGTCTCAAAATCGTGGGTCATTATCACAACAAACTCAATATAGAAAAAGAGATGAGAACTCAACTGTCAAATATTTTAAGTCACCTATTAAAAGATTTGTAAATAATACTGAAAAAAAAAAATGGGTCATGAAAATGATATACTAATCACCTCTACTTCCCACCCCTAAATGTATTTACCCTTGACCTACTTAAGATTTTTAAACTTTAACATTTTTTACATATTTAATAAAAGCATACTTTTGGGTTACTGGTTTTGTTTCAGGTTGGGTTTGTTTTTTTTTATTTCAAGAAACACAATTACTTAACAAATAGTTAATGATGACCAGATTACCAGTGTTTACAGATTATTTATTTAAATATTGCCAAATACTGCTCATTAGCATTTAAGGACTCAAATACTAGCAGTTAGGATAAAACTTTGAAAAATTTTCACTGTGCAATAAAAACTAGTATATGACAGTACTAGCTATAATTAAATAACATAAATACATAAACTTATAAAAAATGGTTATAATTATTATAAAAAACTAATACTTTACCATTTCTACAGCAGAGCCTGTGTTCCTGCCTTTCCAAACAGGTGTTTTCTGTAAAGAATTATACTTTTCATTCCATGTATTTGATAAGCTTCCCTCTGTAATGAATAGTAACTATTAATACAACTTAAATTTAATCCAATGCATTTCATACAATGAATACTATCTCTTTAATAACAGTCATAATCTCAAATATTCATCAGTATAAAAGTATACTGGAACAATTTTAGTTTATTAAAAGTAAAAAAAAATCTCTTTTAAATCAAACTGTCCAAATATTCTGATAAGGCAATTCAATGAGAAAGCATCAAATTTTCATACATAAAAACCTGTGGCCGCTTTCCTTTTGCTTTTTAGTAGTTCCTTCATTCTGTTATGTTATGTGCCGTCAAGCGACTCATAGCGACCCTAAACCCTGCTCTGTCCTGTGCCAATCTCACTGCCTCTGACACACCATTCCAATTACCCCAGTCACTGAATCAATCCACCTCATAGATGGTCTTCCCCTTCTGCGCCGTCCCTCCACCCTCCCAAGCATGATGTTCCTCTCCAAGGACCTCTCCCTCCTTACAACATGTCCAAAGTATGTGTCAGACGAAGCCTCAGAATCCTTGCCTCCAAGGAGCAGCCTGGTTTAACCCTCTGCAGGATCAATCTGTTTGTTTTCTTGGCAGTCCAAGGTACATTCAATACTCTTCTCCAGCAGCACAGCTCAAAGGCATCAATTCTCCTTCTATCCTCCTTAGTCATTGTCCAACTCTCTGATGCATAACAAGTGACTGCAAAGACCATGGCCTGTACCAGATGCACCTTAGTCTCCAGAGTGACACCACTGCACTTCAGTACCCTGGAGAGGTCCCTAACAGCAGACTTTTCCATCGCAGTATGTTTTTTTATTTCCTGGCTACTGGTGCCAAGAGTGTTGACTGTGGAGCCAAGCAGACTCAAGTTGTTAACAATCTCAATCTCTTCACCATCCATCCTGATGCTGCCAATTGGTCCAGTGGTGAGAATCTTTGTCTTCTTGACATTGAGCTTCAATCCACACTGAAGGCTGTGGTCCTTGACCCTCTGCAGCAAGCATTTCAGGTCCTCCTCAGTTGCAGCAAGCAGGGTTGTGTCATCTGCATAATGCATGCTGATTGTTAATAGATCTTCCACCAATCCTGATACCACACTTCTCTTCATAGAGCCCAGCCTCTTGGATAATCTGTTCTGCATACAGGTTGAAAAGGTATGGAGATAGGACACATCCCTGGCGTATGCCTTTCCCAATTTTGAACCATGCAGTGTTTCCTTGCTCTGTTCTGACGACTGCCTCTTGGTCCAAGTATAGGTTTCTCATTAGCACAATCAAGTGATCTGGTATTCTCATTCTTCTCAGAGTCAGCCACAGTTTGTTGTGATCCACACAGTCAAACACCTTTGCATAGTTAGTGAAACACAGATAAACATTCCTCTGGTACTCCCTGCTTTCAGCTAAGATCTATCTAACATCAGCTACAATATCCCTAGTACCACAACCCCTTCTAAACCCAGCCTGGACTTCTGGCAGTTCTCTGATGTGCTGTTCCAGTTTTTCAAAAACATGCCACACATTTTTAGTACAATTCTGATTGAAAGCATTGAAAAAAGCTTTGTAACCTTAAATTCAAAGCATATTTCTAAATGTTTTTTCACAAAAATAACATGAAATTCTAAGAGAAACACAACTAGTGTATTTGTTTTCCTTAACTCAAAAACATCTTCAAAGGTATATGCAACTCTGTTGTTGTATGCTGTCGAGTCAGAGTGAGTGTTTAGAGGTAGTAAATCACATGAGGAGAATGCTCATCTTTCTCGTACAAAGTAGCAGATGGATTTGAACTGCATCCCTTCGAGTTGAAAGTAGCTCCTTACTACTAGGTCACCAGGGCTTCCTATGTGCAATACTAGTTAAATGCCAACTAGAAAATGTTTAGAAATGTACTCAATAAAACAAAGATGAGGAAAGTCTGCTGTCAGGGACCTCTCGGAAGTGCTGAAAAACAATGATGTCAGTTAAAAGACTAAGGTGCTGGTGGCCTACTGGCAAGAAGCTGCACTGCAATCCAAAAGGTATGCGGTCAAATCCAACAGATGCTCTGCTGGAGAAGAAGGGACTGTCTCCTCCTGTACCAGTCAGATTCAATATGACGGTATACACACACACACACAAAATAATAAAAATAGAAAATTTTTTAAAAAAAGACTAAGGTGCCCCTGATCCAAAACATCTTTTCAATTACTTGCTATGGAGCCGAGAGTAGGACAATGAATAAAGAAGACAGAAGAAGTGATGCCTTTGAGTTGTAGTGCTGGGGAAGAGTGCTGAATATTCCATGGACTGTCAAAAGAACAAGCAAACAATGTCATGGAAAAGGTGCAGGTTCCTTGGAGGTCAGAACAGTGAACTTCCTCTCAAATAGCCTCAGGCAAGGTGTTAGGAGGGGCTTATTTGTCATTGTTGTTATGTGCCTGAGACCCATAGTGACCCATGTACAACAGCCCTAAAACCTGCTCTGTCCTGTCCTCACTGTCTCTGATACTCCCACCCCATTACTCCAGTCACTGAATCAATCCACTTCCTGGAGGGTCTTTCTCTCCTGCTGTCCTTCCACCCTCCCAAGCATGATGTCCCTCCTTGCAACATATCCATAGTATGCCAGACGAAGCCTCAGAATCCTTGCCTCTAAGAAGCAGCTGTGTTTAACCCTCTTCAGGATGAACCTGTTTGTTTTCTTACCAGTCCATGGTATATTCAATATTCTTCTCCACCACCACAGCTCAAAGGCATCAATTCTTCTATCATCCCTAGTCATTGTCCAGCTCTCTGACGCATAACAAGTAATAGCAAACACTGTTTCAAGTGCACCTTAGTCTCCAGAATGACACCATTGCTCTTCAGTACTCTGAAGAGGTCACTAACAGCAGACTGTCCCATTGCAATATGTCTTTTAAATTCCCGGCTGCTGGTGCCAAGAGTGTCAACTGCGGAGCCAAGCAAACGAAAGCTGTTAACAATCTCAATCTCTTCACTATCCATCCTGAAGCTGCCAATTGGCCGAGTGGTGAGAATCTTTCTCTTCTTGATACTGAGCCTCAATCCACAGTGAAGGCTGTAGTCCTTGACCTTCTGCATCAAGCACTTCAGGTCCTCTTCAGTTTCAGCAAGCAGGGTTGTGTCATCTGCATAATGCAGACTGCTGATGAGTCTTCCTCCAATCCTGATGCCACATTTCTCCTCATAGAGCCAAGCCTATGGATAATCTGTTCTGCATAAAGATGGAAAAGGTATGGAGATAGGATACATCCCTGGCATACACCCTTCCCAATTTTGAACGGTGCAGTGTTTCCTTGCTCTGTTCTGATGACTGCCTCCTGGTCCAAGTATAGATTTTGCATTAGCACAATCAAGTGTTCTGGGATTCCCATTCTTCTCAGAGCCAGCCACAGTTTATTATGATCCACAAAGTCAAATGCCTTTGCATAATCAATGAAACAACAGACAGACATCCCTCTGGTACTCCCTTCTTTCAGCCAAGATTACTCTAACATTAGCTACAATATCCCTAGTACCATGACCCCTTCTAAGCCCAGCCTGCACTTCTGGCAGTTCTCTGCTGATGTGCTGTTCCAGTCATTTTTGGATAATCTTCAGCAGAATCTTGCTTGCATGTGATATCAATGCTATTGTTCGATAATTTCCACCTTTTGTTGGGTCACCTTTCTTTGGGATGGAAACAAATATAGATCTCTTCCAGTCAGTTGGCAAGTGGTTGTCCTCTAGATTTCTTGGCACAGCTTGGTAAGGACATCTAGGGCAGCGTCTGTCAGCTGAAATACCAACTGATATACCACATATTGCTGGGGCCTTATTTTTTGCCAATTCCTTCAAAGCAGCTTGAACTTCTTCCTTCATCACCATAGGCTCTTGCTCATATGTTGTTTGATGAAATTCTTCTGTGTCTGCCAATTCCTTTTGGTACAGGGACTCTGTATATTCTTTCCACCTTCTTTTACTACTTCCCGGGTTATTTAATATTCTGCCCAAAGCATCCTTAAGTTTGAATTTGTTCTTCAGTTCCTTGAGCTCAAGAAATGTTGAGCGAGTTCAGTCTTTTTGATTTTCTTTTTTTTTTTTTTTTAGTCTTTTTGATTTTCTGACTCCAACTCCTTGCACATTCCATTGTAATATTTTACTCTGTCTTCCTGCGCTGCCTTTTGAAATCTTCTGTTCAGCTCTTTAATATCTTGAATTCTTCCCTCTGCTTTGGCTTTGTGGCACTCTAGTGCAATATTCACAGTCTCTTCTGACATTCATTTTGGTCTTTTTTTCTCCTCCATGTCTGTACTGACCTTTTGCACTCTTCCTGGATGATACTCTTGATATCCTCCTACAACTCATCTGGTCTTCGCTCATTGGTGTTCAAGGTCTCAAACCTGTTCCTGAGATTGTTCTGAAATTCAGGTGTGATACACTCAAGCTCATATTTTGGTTCCCATGGATTTGCTTTCATGTTCCTTAGCTTTAGCTTAGGAGGGGCTAGTCCTTGGGAAAGTCCATCATGCTGGGAAAGGTGGTGGGTCAGCAAAGAAGGGGAAGATGTATTGACAGTGGCCGTAATGGTGGGCTCAAGTATGTTAGAGATGGTCAGGATGGCACAGGATAGGACAGGGTTCAGATCCATTGTTCTTCGGGTCACTACGAGTCATAGTTGATTCAACAGCACCTAATAACAACAACAACAATAATACACAGAAAACACAGGATGTACATACATGCAGTAAAAAGTCACTTTTATTCTTTATTTACTTAGGAAGTCCTGGTGGTACAAATACTTGTCTGCTAACTGAAACCAGCCCCTCCATAGAATAAGATAAGGCAGCAGGATGTGACATCCTGCTTCCATTAGACTGACAGCCTTGGGAACTGGATGGAATAGTTTTCTGACCTATGACCTGCAATGACAGAAGGAGAGCTGATGCCTTTGAGTTGTGGTGCATAAGAAGAGTATTGAATATACCATGGACTGCTAGGAGAACAAACAGGTTTGTTTTAGAGAGGGTGAAGCCAGGCAGCTTCTTGGAGGCAAGGATTCAGAAGCTTCGTCTGACATACTTTGGACATGTTGCAAGGAGCGATCGGTCCTTGGAGAGGGATGCCATGTTTGAGAGAGTAGAGGGATAGTGCAGGAGAGGAAGACCCTTGATGAGATGGACTGATTCCATCACTGGGGTAATGGGGATAGGCATGCTGGAGACAACACGATTGGCAAGGTATAGAGCTGGATTTAGGGCTGTTGTATATAGGGTCGTTATGAGTTACAGGTAAATCGCTGGCACATGGTCACTACCAGTCAGAACCAAGTCAATGGTATCGGGTTTGGAGGGTATTTTTGTTGTTATATTTCCTCATTACCATTTTCTAATTTTTCCATAAAGAAATGTCTATTACTTGAACACTTTTATAAAAATTATATTTTTAAAACATAAACAGATTTAACATTTGTAAAAACCAGAATATTTTAATTTTTTTTTTTAATTCGGCAAGTGGGCTGTTACATACTCCCTAGTGGATTCCAACTTCCATGTGAATAATTTTTTTAATATCTATTTTTTATGAAGAATAAAAAGAGGCAGGATGGGATTAATTCTAGGCATTCTGGAAGAGTAAAATTCTCAATTTAAGAAATCAACTTAAAGCACAGCACAGTACACAGTACTAATGAACCATTGAGAATCTCTAGTTTGATATGAGTTTACTTAACTCAAGAGGCAAATTTACATACAAACTGTATCAGGGTGTGCTTTACTATATCTACAGGGGGAAACAGCAAGTCCAAAAAGCATGTCTACACTCTTTCGCAAGTAGAGAAAAGTACTCTCATTCCAGGAGTCTCATTATTACTTCTTATTGTATGCTGTCAAGTTGGGGCAACTCATCGTTGAGCCTTCAGTGGGTGTTCAGAGGCAGTAAATCTCATAAGAGTTGACTGTCCATCTTTCCGCTATGGAGCAGTTGGCAGATTTGAACCACGCGCCTTTGTGTGGACAGTGAAATTCCTTACCATTAGGCCATCAGAGGCTTTCCATTATTACTTAGGAGATTAAATTCTCAAAAACAAATTTATGGCGAGTTCTGGTGGCCTAGTGGCAGGAGACTGCACTGAAATCCCAGAGGTGCGCAGTTCAAATCCACCAGATGCTCTGCTGAAGAAGGCAGAACAATCGCCTCCTGTACCAGTCAGATCCAATTTGACGGTACACAAATTAAATAAACAAACAAACATTATTTTTTAAAAAATTTACATAAACATACATTTCAGTATAGTTGTTTAATAAAGGCTTTAAATCTATATAACAAGTCTGTAATGCTTAATTAGAAAGTTCACCAATCAAGAATTTCAAGGGGATTTTTTCCTTAAAAATGTCTAACAACTGAGGACTTATTTTTATATAATAGTATATAAATTTAAAGTTAGTACCAGTGAACACAATATGTAAAATCTAAAGTGCCTTATAACTTAGAGAAAAAAAGGAACACTACCTTCAAACTAGTAAAAGAAATTTCTAGTTCATACCACCCCCAAAACACTGTAATTCTTACCTTTTAAACTGACAAGAGCTTTTGCTGAGGAGCCTACAATGAAAAAAGAAATAAATCAATAATTTATTTGATAAATAAATAATGATTAATCAACAATTCCATTCTTTTATAATCAAAGCTGAGAGAAATAGAGCTTGGTTTGAGGATAAAACTGGATTAATTTAGTTTTAGTAGTTAACATATAAGAGGGACATCACGTTTGGGAGAGTGTTGTTACAGAGCAGGAGCGGAAGACCCTCGATGAGACTGATCAATTCTGTGATTGGAGAGGTGGGAGTAAAGGGGTCAGAGATAGTGAGGTTGGCACAGGACAGAGCAGGGTTTAGGGCTCTTGTACACAGGGTCGCTATGAGTTGCAAGCGACTAGATGGCACAAAGCAACAACCACAATGTATTTGAAATGATTGTGGGATATGCAATTAGAAATAATCAGTAAATAATTCAATATATACACACACACACACACATTACTTCATTACATATATGTATGGAAGAAATGGAAAGAGATATTTGAGAGTCTTATTGAAATTCTGAGAAAGAGAAAAAAAATTAAAAATATCAGAAAAAGAAGGAATCTGGGGTTCTCCTCCAAAGTGTTCTGGTGTTATTGAAGGTAATGAGAAAGGGCACTGACATTTACAGAAGCAAAGAGCAGATGTGCTAATGGAAAATTGGTAACAGAAAATGCAAAAGATCCAAAGACTAGTATTTTGTTAAGTATCGTATCGTCAAGTATGACTCACAGCAATCCTATGAACAACAGATCTGATCCTTAGCCTTTCTGACCCCAATGAAGTTAAATGACAGTACAGTCAGGAGAAAGGGAAATAGAACAGTTTACCAAAAAAGGCTCAAGTATACTTGGAAGCAATGCCCCAGGGAGCTCTGGTGGCCTAGTGATGATGGCTCTGCTGCCAACCCAAAGGCATGCAGTTTGAATCTAACAGCTGTTCCACAGGAGAAACACAGGCAATATCCTCCCGTGCAATTTGCTGTCTCTGAAATCCTGCTGGAGTATCAGCTAAAGGGTCAATTCTGACTCAATGGCATGTATCAAAGCAATCTTACACTAGGAAGCAATTGAATTGACCACAGCAGTGACTCTATCAACTACAGATCTGAAGCCCTATCCTGTGCCATCCTCACATCTCAAGCTCAATTATGCTTGAGCCCATAATTACAGTCACTGGGTCAATTCATCTAGTTAAGGGTCTTCCTCTCCTTCATATATGAGACTAAGTTTCACCATCATTGACTTTAAGGAGCATCCTTATCCAAGAGATTTGTTTGTTCTTTTGCCAGTCTATAAGATATTCAATGCTCTTCTACAACACCCCAGTTCAAAGGCATCAATTCTTCTGCTGTCATCTTTATTCACTGTTCAACTTTCAGATGCATAGGAAGTAACTCAAATGACCATAGCCTGGGTCAGATGCATATTAGTCTTTAAACTGACTTCTCTGCTCTTCTCACTTTGGAGAGGTCCTTGACAGCTTTTCCCAAAGCAACTTGTCTTCTGATTTCTTGACTGCTGGTACCAAAGGGGTTGATGGTGAATACAAGCAAGATGAAATCTTTGACAACTTCAATCTTTTTTTTCTCCATTTATCACAATGTTGCCTACTGGCCCAGTAAGGAAGATTTTTGTTTTCCTGAAGTTGCAATGTAATCCTTATTGAATACTGTATACCTTTGATCTTGTCCTCAAACCTCAAAACAACTATAAAAGAAATAATAAGAAAAGCCATAAATAAAAATAACTCAGCACAGAAAAGTAGCTGGAACAAAGAAATCAGCAACACCACAAAGAGCACAGCAAAACGACAGCAATGAGACCATTCAATAATTATTCTGACTGTGAAGGAGTTAAATGCACCAGTCAAGAGAAAAGAGCAGCTCAATGGATAAGAAAACATGATCCGTCAATGTCTGGTCTGTAAGAGACACACCTTACACACAGAGACAACAACAAACTAAGCATCAAAAGGAGGGGAAATATATCAAGCAAACAGCAATCAAAAGAGGCAGGAAAGGAATTATTAATTTTTGACAGATTTCAAAACAAAAACCATCCTAAAGAGACAAGGAATTGCATTATATAATGATCAATTGAGCATAGGTCAACTGAACAAGGCAGAACGATATATAAAAAATCAAATTTTAACAGATTTTAAGACTAATTAATGCACAACTCCACAACAATAGTAGAACAATTCAATATAACACTTTTGATGAAAGAAATAATGATCAAAAAGAAATTCAACAAATATGCAGGACAACTAGGCAATAACTTTAAGCAACTGGACCTTGTACACATACAGAACATTCCACCCAACAAGAGCACAATATATATTCTCTTCCAGTGTATATGGAACATTTTCCAGAATAGAACATATGTTAGTCCCAAAACAGACTTCAATAAATTTCACAAAACATCAAAATACTACAAAGCACCTTCTAAGATCACAATGCTATAAAATTAGAAATGCACAGCAGAGAGATCAAGGGGGAAAGTGAAATAACAGCCTGCTTAAGCATTACTGGGAAAGGTCTTGCTTATTCTCTCAACGCCCTTCAGTCAGAATCAACTCAGAGCTGGATTTCTGAGACTGTAAGTCATAATGGAGATACCCAGCTGGTGGCGGATTTGAACCAACAAAGAGGAGTGGCTTCTGAGTTAGCATCATAAATCTCTACTGGCTACACCATTAGAATGCCAGAAGAAATTAAAAATTTAAAAATATTCTTGAAATAAATGATAATGAAAGCACAACATGCCAAAATCTTTGGGACACTTGAGCCTCCACTGGATCTCCAAGCCTTTAACTTCCTCCCTCAGAACTGCTGGTGGATTCACAACAAACAGATATGGCACTGGGGTTAGGAGCCAACTCCTTAGGGGCCAGGCCCTCATATCCCCCTTATGAGCTGTGGTTCTGGTTAGGTGCCCTGAGCTACGTCAACTCAACGGCCTCAGAGCTGAGCCTTGCAGCTTTGCCCTATTCCAAGCCATCCTTACACTCTGGTATGATCTTGTTGAGCGTCTTCCTCCCTTTTCTGATGTTTTCCTGTAGGATGTCTTTCTCCGAGGACTGGTCCCTCCTGACAACATGCTCAAATCATGAGATGTAGTGTCACCATCCTTGCCTTTAAGGAGCACCCTGGTTGCACTTCCACAGGACTTGTTTGTTCTTTGGAAGTCCCTGGGAAAGTCAGTCCTCTGCTCTAATGCCACAATTCAAAGGCATGGATTCTTCCTGTTGGCCTTCTTATCTCTCCAACAGATGGACAGGAATGAGTTGGAAATATCATGGCTTAGACTAGGTACATCTTGCTCTTTAACACTTGGAAGAAGTCTTTGACAACAGATTTCCCCAGTGCAACACATCTTTGGATTTTCTAACTGCTGATACCATGGGTGTAGATTGTAGATCCAAGTAAAATGAAATCATTGACAACTTCATTGGTCCAGTGGTGAGGATTTTTATATCTTGATATGGAATCCATGTTGAAGACTGCAGTCTGATCTTCTGCAGAAAATGCTTAAGTACTAGTTACTTTCTGCAACCAAGGTTGTGTCTTTGTGTAATGCTGGCTGGTGACGAATCTTCCTCCAATCCTGACTACTACATAAAGTCTAGATTCTTGAATGATTTTCTTAGTATACAGGTTGAGTACGCATAGAGACAGAATGTAATCTGAAACACACCTTTCCTAATAGTACACTATAAAGTATTTATTCCCTTGTTCTGTCATAAAACTGCTTCTTGGTGTTTGTACAGGTTTTTTATGGCCAAATTAGGTGTTCTGGACCTCCCATTCTTCTCAATGTTATCCATAATTTGTTATGATCCACAAAGTCAAATACCTCTACATAATCAATAAAACACAAGTAAACATCTTTCTGGTATTCTCTTTCAGTCAAGATCCATTTGACATCAGCAATTATATTCCTTATGTCATGACCCCTTCTAAAGCCAGCTGGGAGTATGTGGCAATTCTATGTCAATGAACAGTTCCATCCATTTTTTTTATTATCTTCTGCAAGATTTTACTTATATGTGATATCAATAATATTGTTTGATAACTTCCACATTCTGTTCCTTTTTGGGGGGAATGAGAACAAATATGGATCTCCTCCAGTCAGCTGTCTTCCAAATCTCTTTTGCATAGACTAGTGAGCATGTTCAGGGCTGCATTTGGTTGTTAAAACATGTCAACCCCAACTTTTGGCCAATGCCTTCAGTGTAGCTTGAATGTCTTCCTTCAGTGCCATTAGTTACTGATCATATGCTACTTTCTGAAATGTCACAGTGATTCTGTGTATTCCTTCCATCTTCTTTTTTTAAAAAATATTCTTAATGGAATGAATGGAAATCCAAAATCTCTGTAAATGTTCCTTAAAATTATTAAAATAAAATTTTAAAAAATATACTTAATGTAGTTTTTTGGGGTTTTTCTTTATTATTAATTTTAATGAACATTTACAGAGACTTTGGATTTCCATTCATTCATTGTTGCTTTTTTCTCCTTGCCCAATCCCCAGTTCGCTCTTCTCTTTGAAAAGCAAAAGAAAAATTCTTTCATTGTTATATAATCCCTCTGACCAAGTCCACTCCACTATGCAATGTTCATTTTGGACTCCTGTCATGATAATACTATCTAATCATATATCACTTTTAAATAATTCTCTCCCTTATCTGTTTCAATGTACTGTACATTATTTATTCCCTCTTTCTCAGTCTTCCCTCAACCCCAATGTCAGTCCTATTTTACAACAGTGGCACTATGCAATATTTGTCCTTTTGTGACTGAGATATTTCATTCAGCATAATGTCCTCCAGGGTCACCCATTTTGTATAATATTTCATGAGGCTTTTGTTTTTCAATGCTGCATATAGTATTTCATTGTGTGGATATACCACAGCTTTTCTATCCATTCGTTTGTCGATGGGCCCACAGGTTGTTTCCAACTCTTTTCTATTGTGAACAAAGCCATGATAAACATGGGTGTGCATATATATGCTTGGGTG